TACGCTTAAGTATTCCTATTCTTTTACCTTAGTGTAGCTTATGTTGTTACAAAGCAAATCTATTTACCAGACACTCATCAAATCACTATAATTCAGTAAAATGGGTCTGTTTACACTGCACAATGGCTGTGCATCAAGCTCATCATTGGATCATTTAATTTTGTAATTTAATTCTTAAAGTCGTCTTTCTATTTCAGAGTTTTCTGGTTATGACTGTCTAGAAATTACAAAATTTCATAATTAGAAGAGAAAATGAAGACGATAAGCATTAGTATTCTGAATACCAATGTACGATTTCAAATTTCAAATTTGTTGTTTAAATCAGTTTTTCTTTGTATTCTTTTCCTTAGATTTATTCTTCCTTTTCCTCGAAATATCTTAACAGTTTTGTCATGGTCAATAGATATCTTAGTTTTTCTAACTGATAATAGGTAAATTTCAATTGCGGATTTTTGCACGGCAGAGACAATGAGAGAAATTTTTAGAATTTGACACTTTTCAAGATAGAAAAAAGCTTTATTTATATATATTTATTTGTAATATGTTAGCTATAGCTCACCAAACGGCTGAACCGAATGGGCCAACATTTTTTGAGGGAACCCTTGAGTACCCCGGGCTAAAAAGAATAGAGTTTTTCCGTTGAAACGAACATCCATTTATAAAGTGACATGTCTGATTCACAACAGTATCCTATAAAACCTTTGTCTGATCAAGGATATATGAGATATCCTAGGTTTTCTAACTAAATTATTTGTTTTTAACAAGTGACTTGCGGATTTTTGCAGCTTAGAGGCAATGAAGGAAAGGGTCGGGAACTAACGTTTTTATCTTCCTCATTGTCACCCAAATAATGGTTTAAAAATATGTCTACAGTCCATTTTTCCTTACACCCATTCTTTCTTTTCCTTAAACATTAAATAATTTTCTTTTAAAGGGACAGACCGGCTATGTAAGCTAGTTGAAACCCCTCCTCCAAGTGTTCCCTGCGTGTGCACAGATCTAAGGCTACCGGACAACTGAGGAAATATGAGAAACCAACTCATACAATAGATAAGTTCCCTGCAGTTGTATATTGTATAATAGTATATTGGAAACTGCAATATTAATTTATAATTTAGTGGATTTTTGTTTTTTCATTATTGGCGGATTCCCAATCAAAAAAGTAAGCTTCAATATCAATCATTTTAAGGTCATGGAAGTTCCATCACAAATTTGGTACAGCCGTTCTGATGTTTGTTATAAATCCAAACAAACAAACCGCTTCAAATTAAAGAAAATTGCACAAAAGATTGTAATTTTATATGTTTATAATTATACCCCCCCCCCGCATTGAACGCTTGCTTTTAATTTCTATTATGTAATTAAATAAACTTACTTTTATTTGTTGTGTAAAATAAGAACTAGAGCAGCTATTTTACGAGGTCACAAAGTTGTACCAGTAATGTCTAGTTCAATGTGAGACAAGCTCCATATATAAACAAGACGATTTAAAGGGATTGTAAGCATAATTTCAAGTGACCCTTCATGCAAATATGGCAATGCCAGATTGACGACGGAAATCTTGAAAACTTTAATAGATCAATAATATATCACCCTGAACTAACGAGAGAGAGAAGCATTCGGTTTCTTTTATTTGAAATCAAACGTGTTTTCGTCTATAACTCAACAGTCTTTAGACTTACAGATTTGTTTATTTTATACTTTTTCATTTAAAATGTATATGCAAACAAAAAATTATTTAGGATAAAAGGCTATAAAATTATGTTAAAGGGGTCAAATTGTGATCGAAAGTCAGTTTTCTGAAACATTGACAGAACCGTTAAATCCACGTGATATGTTATGTGGAAGATATTGTTATCTTTTCTAAGTTTAATTTCAAGTTTAACTCAAGCTTGAAAATAATTAGTTTTTAAAACTATAATGGCTAGAGATCAAAGTACATACTTAATTAGACAAAACTTACAAAGGTGTACCATTGTAAATCCGACATTGCCTTCTTTGCATGGAGGGTCACTTCAAATTACGCTTACAGTCCCTTTAAAAGGGTTGGCGTGGTGTTTAGGGGATAGGAGGGGGGAGGGACAATGATAGGTTTTGTGCAATGTCAGAGGGGATATATGTGGGAAAGATTAGGGGGTGGTATCTAGAATATATAGCATTGTATATTGCTAGCTATATAATTTTCAAAATCTTGTTTCTTTATATCAATGATATTAATGTACAATACAAATA